GTTTATATGGCATAGCTCAGTAGTGATGGTGGATCTCAAAGTGGAAAGATAGCTCTTGAAGGTCTGCTTTTGCTTTTCCTCCTTCATTTCAATGCCAGTGATATAACCTTTCTGTTCCATGAATCAAATAGCAGGTAGAGTTGTAGGAAAAGATTTGTATAGAAGATGCATTTTCTTGTTTCTCTTCAGCTTCTTATATGGCAGAAGCCTGAGGCTAGATGCTGGTCAGTGGCCTAACAGTAGTCTCTGTGTGTGAAGAAATTCAGAATGCACTTAGGGTGAAAATAGGTGCAGGTCATCGCTATAGATTCATGGCCAGCTTAGTGATACCTGGTTCAGAATTCAGTAAGGTTTACTTAAGCCTTGCTAGCCAGCCCTTTACTCCAGAGAAGCCCACTCTGTTAGCTTTCTTGCTGCCTAGGGCTTTGGGGTAAGAGTATGCTATGCATTTGTTCATTTCATCTAGAGAAACAAGTATTTCACCAACCCCAGCATGCATATATCTAATACGAATACCCCTGTCCTAATGAGGGGATGAGTTGACAGGCAACTGGAGAAATATAATGAGACTTCTGATGCCTTGTGTAGACTATGTTGGAAATATTCTGGAGTGGGCCATCTTTGAGGTGGTTCCTGTCTACTCAGCAAAGACACAGGAGATTTTGGTTGGAGGCATGAGAGAAGTGACTTCTATTGATCGATTTAGAAGCCTCCTCTTTAGAGATTACAGGTCAAGGGACCCTGTAAGAAGAAAATGCTATTTAGGAGGAAGAGAAAAACAATGGAGGGCAGAGCACTGGGTTGGGAGCAAAAAAGAGTCAGTTTGGATCCTTGCCTCTACCTTTCTGCTCCTGAGAGTTCTCTGGGCTGTTACCTGAGTCACATAGTCCAGTCTGTGGAGTGAGTGCAAACTTTGCAGTCTTCCAACAATCACAGGAGTTGAAGATTTGCCCATTTCCAAAATTTTCACTCCGTGAATCACAAAGCTTTTCACAAAGCCTTTTATTTCGAGTGAGTCAATGAGTGAGTGTGTGAATATGTGCATGTGTCTAGGAGCAGGTGCAACATGAAAGAGATACTTGCCTCGATATGGCTTTCTTTATGTTACTTTGCCCAGAGCCCACCATTGTTTTTCATGTTGAAACTACTCTCTCCCTCCCTCCCTCTCTCATTTATGTTGTTTTTATAGCTTGTTGTGGTCTGGCTTTCACCATGATTTTGGAGGGGGCCACAGGACTTCAGGAAGTTAAATGACTGCCTAGGTCTCTTATTAAAGTACAAATTCTCTGAACAAGTTACCCTTGACACGTCATGGGAGGGAATAAGAGATCCAGTCATCCATTCAAGTAGAGAAAGAAGGATACACTGATATAGTGAGAGCCTCTAATGATGCAATTTGATCTAGAGAAGTAAGACTTCACTTAGCAATTCATAATTGAGCTGAGAGCTAAAGAATAATTGAGCATTGACTAAGTGAAGAGAGTGGCAGGAGGTACATGTGTCCAGTAAACATTTTAGGCAGAGGGAACAGAATATGCATAGGCTTCATGGTGGAAAGGATCATGACATATTCTAGAAGCACATAGAATATTAAGTTAGCTGGTTTTGCAATTTAATTCAATTTTAGTGGATGAAAATTTAATGCGCAATAGGATATTTACACAGTCTCAAAGCATTTTTACAGAGAGCAATTATTAATTTTACAGTGGTAATAATTTGGCAGTAAAAAACCTATTTGATACCATATTTACCAAGTGATCAAAGTTAACATCACAAATAATAAAACAAACTGATGTCATGTGCCTTCTAATGAGATGTTCTGTGAGGACGTAGCCTCACTTATGCAACAATTCTGCCAAGAATGCACCAACCTTCATCTAATCCAAAGGAAACATCAGAGGAACACATGCTAGTGTCACCCTATAACTGTTGGTCTGGGGGCCAATGTTGTGACAGAGTGGATAAAGCCACCTCCTGCAACACCAGCATCCCATATGGGCTCTAGGTCATATCCTGGCTGTTCCACTTACTATCCAGCTCCCTGATAATGGGCTTGGGAAAAGCAGAAAAGGATGGCCCAAGTGCTCTGGTTCCTGCCATCCATGTGGGAGATCCAGATGAAGCTCCTGGCTTCTGACTTTGGCCTGCCCCAGTCCCGGCCATTGTGGCCATCTGGGGGGTGAACCAGTGAATGGAAGATCTCTCTCTCTCTCTCTATAACTTTCAAATAGTGAATAAATCTTTTTAAAAATGAAAATATTTGGCCTGTATTCCAATTTCAATTCAAAATTTAAGCCATAGTTTTGGATATTGATTGTTGAAAATGCAAGTGCATCCACCTTCAAGTTCTGAAACTATACCCATTGTGGACACAGCATGTGAAGAATTAACAAGAAAAGAAACATACACCTATACTGTTGAGCCAGCAACATGGAATGAGAGAAAGTATAGATAAAGCATATATAAAGTGCAGTTCTCCTGCCCAGTGTTTTGTCAGATACCTTCTGCTGTGGATGGGGTGTACAGATAAATGCTTGGTGGGCTGCTTAGCTAAGGTGACTTTGGCCCACTGCACTGTATCCAGGAAGGCTCCTGGCCAGTACCGAGCTGTGAATACTGTTGTTTGGAAGATATGAATTGGTGAATAAGAGAGAAGATGTTTTGGCAAGGGAGACAGCATAATTGATGATTAGGTGGTAGAACAAAACTGTCTGAGATGGAAAATAGGGGAAAAATTAGACTGGCCTGAATGAAAAAGCAAAGCGACCTCACTTAGGATCATCTTAGACTCTTTCTGTGACACAGCAGCTGGTGAGTTGGAAGAAGAAAAAGATTAAGATTGACTGGGTACCATGTGCACATTGCCATGATGCTCAACCTTGACATCCTCAACTGATTGTAAGCAGGACTAGCTTTCTGCACGACTCAGATGCCTACCTCTCTTCTTAGGACATCTCTGAAATTTTGTGGAAAAGGGCACCTACTGCAATTTCTAGAGTTGTGGCAAGCACTTTATTTTCACGGTTATATACTCTAACAGCTTGTAAAATAATAGCCCTTCTTTCTCTGGAATTGGCATGTTCTTAAGGATCACAATAACCACATTACTTCAAAGTAATTTACTTCTGTTAGATTCTATTCAGAATTCTGCTAGAATATCAGGTGATCTTTCCCATTACCCTTCAAAATGAAACTAGCCCCCACCCCCTTCCTTTTCCCACATGGCGGGGTGGGGTGACACAACCCTCTCTCTGGGGGCCCATGGCCTAGAATCCCCAACCAGTAACCTCTTCCTGTGCAGTTGGGCCTCCGAAGTGCCCCGAGGAGCACCTTCCTCCTGTAGACCTGGCCTTTGCCTGCTGCCCCAAAGGGCCGGACAAGATGGTCGCCACCCTGTGGGATACAGAGGAGTGTGCCGCGGGGGTGTCTGGGAGTTGTAGTTCAGGTTTGCTTTCTGACTCACTTCGCTGCTGTGGGCCAACAGGCACCTTTCTGCAGCCCGCGGGACTCTGCTCATTCTTATAAGAGGCACACTGAAGAGGGGGAAACTATGGTTTCCAGGCTTCCAATGACCTAGTGCTGTGAACCAGAGACCTTTGAAGATGTAAAAATAGGGGCCAGTGCCTTGGCTCACTTGATTAATCCTCTGCCTGTGGCGCCGGCATCCCATATGGGCACCGGGTTCTAGTCCCGGTTGCTCCTCTTCCAGTCCAGCTCTCTGCTGTTGCCCGGGAAGGCAGTGGAGGATGGCCCAAGTGCTTGGGCCCTGCACCCGCATGGGAGACCAGGAGGAAGCACCTGGCTCCTGGATTCGGATCGGTGCAGCGTGCCGGCCATAGCGGCCATTTGGGGGGTGAACCAAAGGAAGGAAGACCTTTCTCTCTGTCTCTCTCTCTCACTGTCTAACTCTGCCTACCAAAATAAAAATAAATAAAAATAAAAAGATTTAAGAATGGGTTTCACCCTGGGGGAGTGGAGACTATTGGACCTCAAACAGAAGTACTGTACAGGGATGTGACGCTCGAGAACTACAGGAACCTGGTCTCAGTAGAGCATCAGGCAGATATGATATTTCAGAGGAGGTAGAAGAATTCTGGCCTGTGGAAAGAAGAATTCTTCAAGACTCCATTCCAGAATATTCTGAGAAAGCTAGACTCTCAAATTGATCTTCCTACTGAGAATCCCCTGACAAAGATCAAGGTTGTTGAGGTCCTCACACTCAAATAGGAAGTGGCTGGTCCCCGGAATGCCCAGATCCAGGCTCTCTATGCTGAAGGCAGAGGCCTGATCTCAGATGTCCTCAAGAAGCCAGCCTAACAGCCAGGCAACCAGCCAGCTGACCCAGAGACCGCTCACCAGAGGTTCTGGCAGGTCCGTTATGAGGAAGCATCCGGGCCCCAAGAGGCACTGGCCTTGCTTCATGAAATGTGTCACCAGTAGCTGCAGCCTTGAAGCATACTCCAAAGAGCAGATCCTTGAGCTGCTGGTGCTGGAACAATTTCTGGGTGCACTGCCAGGGAAGCTCCAGCCATGGGTGGAGTTACAACACCCAAAGGACTGCCAGGAGGTGGTGGTCCTGCTGGATGATGTGACCTGGATATCCAATGAGGAAGCACTGCCCGCCCAGGGATCTGCCTGTTCTCTTGATGTCACTGCTAAACAGAAGGAGGAGAATATAACCATAGTGGTGCTACTGCCTGAGGAGCCGGTGACCTTCCAGGATGTGGCTGTGGACTTCAGCCAGGAGGGGTGGGGGATGCTGGGCCCAAAACAGAGAACTGAATGCCATGATGTGATGCTGGAGACCTTTGAGCACCTGGTCTTTGTGGGGTGGGAGACTGGGAAACAAGCAGTTAATTAAGAAATATGATATTCTTGTGGAAGAACCAGATCATGACCTGAAAGTGGAAGAATTCTCAAGGGATGACACTGGGTCCTCTACCATAGAAGATGTCATGCAGGGTGGGGCTCAGAAGTTCTAGACAGAGCATTATGACAAGTGGGATTCACCCAAGACAAAGTCCTCCCTCAGAAGCAGCACTGTGAAAGCCTTGAATCTCAGGTAAGCACAGATCTTGACATAAGCCAAGTTTCACTTCAGAAAATTCCTTCTAGAAAATGTTTGTGCAAAATGTCTCATGAGTTACAAACATGACATGTAATTCACAGAAGAGCTGTGAAAGGGAAAAGACCAAGAAAAGCAGTGGTTCTAAGAAAACCAACCACAATGCTCAGCAGAATACATTTGTAAGACTTTACAAGGGGAGCCAAAGTTGCAGGTGCAGTGAATGTGGCAAAATGTTCCAGAATCCAATATACTTTTCTGTACATAAAAAAATTCATAAATGAGAAAGGCCCTATGTGTGTCAAATCTGTGGGAAAGCATTTCTTCAGAGCTCCTCCCTCACACAGCATCAGAGAATTCATAGCGGTGAAGGACTATCTGAATGTTAAGAGTGTGGAAGGACTTTCAGTGATCACTCATTCATCGTCCAGCACCTAAGAACTCACACTGGAGCTAAGCCCTACTAATATAAGGACTGAAGAAAAGCTTTCCTTCAGAGTCTCACACCTCATCAGGCATCAGAGGACTCACACTGGGGAATGCCCATTTGTGTGCAGCAGATGTGGAAAGGCCCTCACCCAAAGCTCACATCTTATTGGGCATCACAATATGCACAGTAGGATGAAGTGGAAGAAGAAAAAGCATACCTCATAGTCTCAAGCCAGCTTGATCATACAGTGTAGCATGCACAGGCCTGGTTATGATTCAGGACTCAGTGGGAAAAGGAAGCATTGAATGAGAAAATTCCCAAGACCAAAGGACAAAGCAAAGAGACCACCCAGCCCATGAGGAGTAAATAAGAAAACTGGGGTATTATTAATACATCTATCAATAGGAGTAAAAGTTTTAATTTCTTAAGTTGTTATTTGTTTGCTCATACATTTGATCATTAAAAATGATATTACTGAAATTTCAAAATGCTAATAATTTTAAGAAGCCAGATACCAGGTAATCTGTGCCCTAATGATTATATCTGTGGTAAAATATTTATTGTGGATGGATAAGGACTAAAAAAGAATGAAGAGCTGGCTCTGTGGTGTGGCAGGTGGGGCCGCTGCCTGTGGTGCCAGCATCCCATTTGGGCACTGGTTCAAGTCCCAGCTGCTCCACTTTTGATCCAGCTGTCTGCTATAGCCTGGGAAAGCCGTGGGGGATGGCCCTGGCGCTTGGGCCCCTGCACTCTTGGCTTCAGATCTGCGTAGCTCTGCTCACTGTGCCCCTCTAGGGAGTGAACCAGAGGATGGAAGACCTCTCTCTCTGCCTCTCTGTGACTTTGCCTTTCAAATAAATAAATAAATATTTTTAAAAAGAAGGTAGATAAATAAAAAAATATATTTTGGTGTTAAAAAAACAATGAAAAGCAAAACAAAACAAAATTCCAAAGTGAAACTACCCACATAGAGGCTTTGGCTTTCATTTCAATGTATATTTCTTCCATTGGTGTTAAAGGCTAAGTTAGTATGGACACATATAGAAAGGAAGAAAGGAGTTGATTTTGACACTCAGATCTCATGATAATGCAAGATATGGTTCTTTAAAAGAAAGCCGTCCATTTATGCTAGTTCATCAATATGATTAAAACTGTGAAGCTTTGCAGTCACTGTGAGCCAGGGCTCATACCCTGATTCTACCACATTCTAGTTGCAAGATTTTTCATAATTGACCCAGGCCATTGTTGTCTCATCCTTTGTAAAACAGAGGTTTAATATTAATAGTACTTATTTCAGAGTTACCATGATAATTAATGAGATACATGTGTAAATAACTTAGCATAACGCTTGACACCTGACCAAGTTGTTCTTGTATTGTCATTGGTATTGCCACTCTGTCACCGCTCACACCAGCTCCAGGTTCCTATTCTATCAGGAAAATAAAATCTTACAACTTCTTGCTAAAGCAAGACTAGCAGCAAGTAAAGGAGGAATTGAGAAGCCTCCTGGAATTCACTGTTTCCTGTTCTCACTCTAAACATAACACCCCAAAGAGGATATATGGAGACTAAACTTTTAGGGATCATTTTTATAGTTCATTATCCAAGAGATTGTATGAGAAGGCAATCTAACCCTCAGATCTGTCCCTGTTTCCACAGGTACCTGTCAGCTTGGCTGGGCATATTACTGTGCTGGAGGTGGAGCAGCTGCAGCCATGTTGATCTGCACCTGGCTCTCTTGCTTTGCGGGAAGAAATCCCAAGCCTGCTGTGTTGGTGGAGGGCATCATGCGGAACACTAATTCTTATGCCATGGAGCTTGACCACTGCCTCAAATCTTGAGCTTTGAAAGAAGTTTGGAAAGGTTGGGGAAGTGGGAGGGAAAGAGGCCCTGAAAAGAGGTACTTAGACCAGTTGTCACTCACTTGCCAAGTAAGGCAGCCTAGTGTTTGCATGCTTTTTAATCTACTTGTTATTCATTGTCACTTTCCTTTAAGCCAGTGGGATAGTGGCTATTTACAAAATTTATCTAGGACAATGAATCTTTTTAATGTTTACCCAACCAGTGAGAACCCACTAACTCCAGAGTCCTGAAGTCCTCCTTCATACAAAATAAAGAGTAGATCCTGGAAGGTAACTGTACAACCAAGCAGCTCTCAGAGTTCTATAGTTCCTATCACTTAACCCAAAGCTTAAAGTCTGGGTAAGAACCGTTGTGCAAGGAGGGAGAAGGAGACAGATAAGACTGGTTCCTACCATTCCATTCATATGAGCCTCTCCTTGATACATACTGTCATGCAGAAACATTCCTGGAGTACCACTGCTCAAAAGTTTGCAACTCTCATGTCTGTATCTTACCTCTTTCCCTTTTCACCCGTTTTTCTTCCTTTCCCAGTTGTGGAAAAATTTTGTCAGGGAGAGTGACTCCCAATGGGGAAATATTAATCAATGATGCTTGCATACAGTCTGAGGTCCCTTTCTCATTATACTTTAGAATATTCATAGGAGTTCACTGTGTTTTCTGGTTAGGAGACTGACATCAAAATATAGTAGTGATTATTCCCTAGTCCTTTATAGATACAGAAAGGTGTTCAATGAAAGTTCTGAGAAAACAATTTGTGGGAACTCAATAAATATAGATTCACAGTGTTGATGACAAGAATATTCCTGCCAGATTTTTATTAAATGTTCTATCAACAATTTATTTGTAAATTTTAATTTTTTTATTTTCATAGCTCATTCTTTTTTAAAATTATTTATTTATTTGAAAGTCAGAGTTACACAGAGAGAGGAGAGGCAGAGAGAGAGAGAGAGAGCGAGCAAGTGAGCCCACAATAGCTGGAATTGGGCCAGGCTGATGGCAGGAGCAAGTAACTTGATCCAGGTCTCCCATATGAGTAGCAGGAACTCAAACACTTGCCCCATCTTCTGCTGCCTTCCCAGGTGCACTAGCAGGAAGCTGGGTTGAAGTCCACTATGGCTACCTAGAACTATTTCTTGAACATCTTACTATATGCCACATTCTGTGCTAAGTACTAGGAATAAAAGGATGAAGTTTCTCACCTTAAGAGAGATAGTGGTGAGGTATTTGTTAATACATTTTTTAGATATGTCAATAAATAATCGCCAGTATATTAAATGTTAGGAAAGGGAAAAGAGGGAAGCAAAGGATCACAGAGGGGCCATTAAGCCATTTGGGGGTGAAATGGTTCATGATAAAGCTTCATAGAAAATATGATATCTAACACGGGTCTGAGAAATTAATAGAAGGAGTTAAATCAGCAAAGATAAAGTGTGCCATAGAGAAGGAGGAGTGCAATAAAGGCATGCAGACAGCGTAAGGAAGTTAAACAGATAGCAGAAAGGAAGTGGTAGGCAGATTATGCAGGACCTTCCATCCCAGGACAAGGAGTTTGGATTTTATCCTAAGGGGAGTGGACATTGTAAGGGAAGTCATATGATTATAATTTTTTTCAAAGCCCAGTTTGGTAAAGTGAGGAACATGAAAAAGAATAGCGAGAGACTACAAACATTTTGATAATCTAGATGGAAAAGGATCAAGTTCTGAACTCAGATACTGACTCTGTGGCTGAGGTACACGGAAAAATTTGAGAGAAGATATTTAGGAAGTGAATTCCACAGGATTTAATGTTTAATGGATATGTGTAGGTAAAGGCAAGTGAAAATTGTGGGATGATCACACTGATCTGTGAGTGGTTCCCATCACCGAGATATGGAATACAAGAGCAAGAACAGATAGTAGGGTGGGCCAGCATTGTGGCACAGCAGATTAAGCCATTTCCTCAGACACCTGAATCCCAAATGAGTGCCAGTTCGAGTTCTGGCTGTTCCATTTCTGATCCAGCTCCCTGCCAATGAACCTGATGAAGTGGTAGGAGATGGCCCAACTACTTGGTACCCTGACACCCATGTGGAAGATCTAGATGGAGTTGTAGCTCCCAGCTTGGGTCTGACCTAGCTTTGACTGTTGTGACTGTGTTCACTCCATTTGGGGAATGAACTAGCAGCTGGAAGATCTCTCTCTCTCTCTCTCTCTCTCTCTCTCTCTCTGTTTGTGTGTGTGTGTGTGTTTGTGTGTGTGTAACTTTGTCTTTCATAAGCAAAGTAAATCTTAAAAAATAAGAACAGATGGTAGGGAACTGGTGATGGGACTGATGTAAAGTATCATCTCACTCATGGAACTGGATAAAATGTTTAGAATTATGGCAAGTTGGCAAGTTGAACACACCTCATGGGAAGGAAATATTATAATTGGGTTCGAAGCATTGCCTTTCTCTAAAAAAAAGATGGAGCCAGTTAGAACTTAATTTTCATAGCATTACATAGACACAATAATACACCTTTAATCAGGGAGAGACTAATGCATGGAGAATATGTCAAATATGTGGGAAAAGCAGATTCCTGTTTTCAGAGAAGGAAATTGGACTATATTATCTCTCTTCTCAGGCTAAGCAACCTTCTGGAAATCTGCAGGATAGAATTTGTAGAAGTCAGAAGTTTAAAGTCAAGGTCCTGGCAAGAAACATATGGTTAATTAGTGTGTTCTCTGTTTTTTCAAGGGGTCTTCAGAAAGTTCATGAAAAATGTGTAGTATGAGAAAACTGCATGGGTTTCAAAATTTTAGCACCGAAACAAACATAAATTTTAAATCAATTTCCATGAACTTTTTGAAGTCCTTCCATATAATGAAATATCTGAGGCTGGTACTTACAAGGAAAAGAGTTTTATTTAGCTCACAATTCTGGAGGTTTGAGGACATGGCACAAGCATCAGCTTGACTCTGGTGAGGACCTCATAGCAGATGGTATCACAATGGGCATGTGCGAGAGAGGGAGAGATCACATGGTGACAGAGTCAGCCAGAGCAACGGGAGGGGTCAATTTTCTAACCTCTAACTAGGCTCTGTCTATTTTTAAAGTTTTATTTATTTTTATTTCATTTGGAAGGCAGAGAGAGAGAGAGGGCAAGATTCCCCCATCTACTGGTTTACTTCCCAAAATGCTCACAACAGCCAGGGCTGGGCCAGGCTGAAGTCAAGAGTTTGGAACTCAATCTGGATCTCTTATGAGGATGACAGTGACTCAAGTACTTGAACCATCATATGCTCAACCTCTTACAGATTCCATTGCTCTCTCATTGTCACACTGGGGACCAAGCTTCAAATACAAGAACTCTTGGGGAATCCATTAAAATCATATCCAAACCATAGTAAATGATATATTCAAGTTTGATGAAGAGAAGCTTGATGAAAGAATCATTAGTAATAGCGTGTGTGGGATTAAGGGAACCTACAAACATATGTAAGGCATAGAAAGATTATGAACAGTGGGAGATATTATATGCCATAAGACTGGAGGGGCAAAGGCAAAGAAAGGTGCTACTAGAACCCAGCAAGAACTGCAACTGTGCAAGAGGGGCTGCCTGACACAAGCTTGGTCTTTAGGTAGCACAGTGTACTCTCTCCCCAAGTGCAACACAGTAAGGAAGGAGAAAGAGGAATAAATACATCCTACTTTTCCTGTTCTCTCATTTACTACCAGTACCCACCATCAATGTGAACCAGCCAAACACTAGCTGGCAAGGAAGCCTGATGCTAAAGTCCATTGAGGTCAGCCTCCTTTGGAACAGAACACATGGCAGAGAAAGGCAGAGAATGAGGGTTAGGGGTATGAAGGGTAGATGAAAGGTAACAGTTTGTGAGTGATCTTAGCTCCTGATGTTACCTTTGTTTTCTTCACTGCTATATAGGAAGTACATGCTTTACTGCCCTCCATGGCCCAGATTTGGAAACATGCTATGAAGTAGTTGGACTCTACAGAGGAGATGGAGAAGGAGGGGTTAATCTGAAAGAACCATTTAAAATGGCTCTCCACTTCCAGGAATTAGTTGTAGGTAAGTTAGTCAGAATGTTTCTTCCTCTTCTCTGGGAAAAGGGGTAAAGGGAATCAGATTTGAAAGAGTTGTTATTTTTTTCCAAACAGGCCTTCAGGGGCCTATATTCAAAGATCTGAATTTAAATTTGAATTTAAATTCTTACCTGTCTGTGTCTGATTTCTTTTCTTGCCAAGCCTGTGTTTGCATAGATATCAGACTAGCCTAGTTTTTCCCCGTGGTCTGGAGTAGACTCTTGGAAGTAAAGTTGGCCTCTCCTGGCTGCTGCTGTACAGAGAATTAGAGCCCAGTCATCTGGGGGGCCAGATGAGTGAGGTTGATGACCTTGGAGTCTCAGAAGTTTGTACTATGCAGGCCTGGCTCCCTGGCATACTCTGTACCTGTGCATGCAGACCAAGTGTATAACCTTGAGTCCCATCTGACCCTGGAACCACTCCAATTGTGAGGAGGGAGGTGAAGTGGGAAGCTATTCATCTAGGCTAACTCACAGTTAATTGACTATTTCTTATATGCTCATTGGGCGAGACACTCCTTTCTGAGAAAGAATGTCAGTGGGCAACAACTTCCCAACTAGTAGGTCTTTGTGTCTGGAAGATTTTAAATTTGTACACCTGGGATGACAAGCATTAAGTACTTGAGTCTGTATCTCTGACGTCACTCATCAGCATCCCTACTCCCTGGAAAAAAACTGCCTCCACTCACAATTGCTGGTGACTCCCAGGCAGAGTGTTCTGGAAAGGTTCTGGTCTCTGGGAAAGGGAATTCTGGCTTTTTCAAGGGTAGGAGGCAATTTTAGGTATTGGCTGGACGAGGGTAAACTCTAGGAGGATGAAGGAACAGGGAAGCTTCTTGGCAGAGGCGCTTTAGGAACTGTCACAGGAGCCACACAAAAAGGAGGGACAGCCCTTTGACAATGATGGGGATGTTTTCATTAGCATCTGTTAGTCTCTGTCTGCAGAAATACAAGTAAGGCGAGGTTTCAGGATTGCGTTTGGTCCCAAGGAAGCCTAGTGATGGGGAAAAATGGAGGTTTCAAGAAATATAATAGTGAAAGTATTTTATAAAAGATGGAAGGCATTCTACTTGGTGGCTTGAGGGGCAAGGTGTGCTATTTCTAGAACTCACAATCAATCTCCAGCCAGGGCTGGTGAAGCTTTCTCAATAGACAGGAAGCAGGGCATCTTCCAAAATGTCACTGCTGCTGCTCCATGTTCTTGGTTTCTGAGCGTTTTCAGAGCTGGAGGGGGATCTGGGGTTGAAGGATATTTATCACTCATCTATCCCCTAGATGGCGAGAGATGCATTTTTGGCTTCAATTTTCTTTTCATCTACTTATGAGATTAGGTTCTCCCAGGGCTGATCTCTTCTCTAAATGCATTGAACCCCCACTGAATCCTTAAAGCTAATAGCTAATAAATAGTTGCTATGTATGCACAACAAATGATTTAGATTTTCACTATACAGAGCTGCTGATAAGTGAGGAGTCAGGAGTAGGGGGAGACTGAAAGCTTTGTTTTGACTGCAATCTTGAATCCTGCTCCTTCCTCTCCAGACAGGAGGACCCTGGAAAATAGTACTTGGGAGAGAGAGGGCATTGAGGCCAGCCAGCATCCAGGAGGACAGCACCCTGATGTTGGCTCCCTTTCATGTAGTGTCTGCTTTCTCAAAGAGATAGTAGCAACCACAGATGGGAAACCAAATTGGAAGAAAGTTCAGGGGGAAGATCAAAGGGCAAACA